TATCCTATTCCTAATTTATCCTATGAAAATAGTTAAAGATGTGTTCAAAGACAGTTAAAAACCTAGTAATTCTGTCACTGCTTACAGTAGCAAAAAACTGGACACAACATAAAATTCTACAAATAGTAGCTTTTGCAAATTTTGGCTGAACTATGATATGGCATACTATGCAATAATTAAATGTGCTCTTGTATATTCAATTTATTGACAAAGGAAAGTGTTCATCAGATATCGTCAAGTGAAAAAAAGGTATATAACACAATGTGTAATATTATCTTACTTTCATAAAAATTATAATTAAACATAGAAAAATTACTCTTAAAGTATGAGTAGTGGAAATATGGGTAATTTTTATTTCCTTCCCCCTTCCGATTTTCCTACAATAAATATATGTTACTTGGACTTTAAAATGAAAACAAGCCAACTCATAGCTAACTGTGAAGCGATCTCCTGTTTTTAAATTCATTAGAACAAATATATAAAAACCTGTAGTTTGACTAAACTTTTACTGGTATTCCTTATTTATTTCTGTCCAGTTTGGAAGAGTCAATTGTTTTGTTAATATCAATCCCTCTTTCCAAATGAGTTGAAATCCCCAATTTGTAAACCCTTCACAATTTGTAAAAGACTCTCTCTATTCCTGGCAAACAAGGAAACTTGTAGCTGGTCAGCCTCATAGGAGCAGGCAATCTGCTGTCTCAAGCTCAACCAGTGGCCTGCTGATAAATGTTTAACAACCAGCTCTCAAAAAACTTTTAGAAAAGCAAAGTTAGCCCTGATTTGTAGCATTTGCCAGTTCCGTGGTGTAAGCTCTCCCACCATGGCCAGCTATAAGGTCCTAACACGTCACTGTAGACTTGGGAAGAGATGAACCCAGCCGGCTCTTGTGATCCTGTAGCACCAGCTACTGAAACACCCCTGAGCCCAACCCAAGGGAGTAAATTTTCACACAGGTGTATCTAGAGCATATCCCTTCTTCCTCATTTAAAATTTTCCTATTTATCTTTACAATAAACATTACACATGAAATAGGCAGAGGGTTACTGGGAGAGAAGAGAAAACCGTGCTGCACACAGGCATGGGGGACAAAAGTTTGCACTGCTGGCTGAGTATGTCCTCTCCTGGCAGTGCTTCTTGATGGTCATGGGCCAGTCGCACTCAAAGGCCTCCTCTGGGTCAAGGCACTTCGGCTATGTGAGCCCCAGGGACCCCTCACCATCATAGCACTCTCCCTAGCACTCAGCATCTGCAGACAAGGTAAGCATAGGCCATGTGGAAAAAGTGCGAGTGGAAGCTCTGACTCTCCATTTACTCCCTGAGTACAAACAAGTCCTGACGTGAAGCACAGTACAGAACAGTCTAGCACCCTCTGAGGAGCCAAGGAAAGGCCCAGGGAGGATGCCCTTAGGCTGCTCACTCTAATAGTTTCCGTCCCAGTTAGCTATTCCCCTCCCTACATACAGGATCCTGCCTAATGAGCCTGCTGCAAAACTCTTCACTTAGAATAGTCAAAATGAATTTCCAAATATGACCAAGACCCATCTGGCCCTTTCCAGAAAGCTGTGCCAGTCTGGGAATAAGCCAATTTCATCCACAGCTTGTAACATGGGAAATATGCAAGAACTGCCAACTGCCTGCATCCAGGCTTAGATTCTCCTTAAGGTGACGGAGGATACTTATTTAAAAACAAGATATTTGTCTCATTCACCTTTAGCTCCCTCCAATAAGTGAAAACGTGGTATTTCTTTTTCTCTGCCTGACTCGTTTCACTTAATATTATTCTTTCAAGGTCCATCCATGTTGTTGCAAATGGCATTATTTCATTCGTTTTTATAGCTGAGTAGTATTCCATTGTGTAGATATACCACATTTTCCGTATCCTTACACACACACACACACACACACACACACACTCACACAAACACAAAAAAACAAACAAACAACAACAACAACAAAAAAACCCCAAAAAAACCGGCGGCGGGGGGGAGAGGAAGATATAACAACCACAATTTTTTTTGAAGTTCTTACAACAAGCAAATGGAGGGGACACACTTGGGTGGGAGGGGGGAGAGGGAGGAGGGAGGGAGGTTTCGGTGATGGGACATAATAATCAACTACATTGTATATTGACAAAATAAAAATAAAATAAAATACAAAAAAAAAGATATTTGTCATGTTACAAGCAGCAAAGTATTGTTCAGGCTTGAAGGGACCAAGAAGAATGACCCCGCCTTGATGCAACCTCAACTGGAAGAAGAACCTTGTTTATTAAGGCACAGTGGTAGAAGAAACTTGGGAAGAAAATGGGGCTGGAGGAAGCTCTGCCTACTCATTCATATCAAGGAAGAAAAACTCAGGGGAAGACACAGGACCTGAGCAACAGCTTTGGAGCTCTGCAAACTGGGTGAGAAGTGTGCTGAGTCCTCCCCAGGGAGAGTTCATGCACCTGGCATGATTAAGAACAGCTGGGAGTCAGGAAGTCCGACGTGCACAGAGAGGTGAGGGTGTGCAGCAAACATCATCCCACCAGTCTTCATCCCAGGGGGATAAAAATTCAGTATTAAGCAGAGGAGGCTTCTGTGCATGAATCACTCAGAGCAGCATCCAAAGTGGGGTCAAAAGACAGGGCCATTCCACCAACTGGTCGCAGCAGTGCAGGATGAGCTAAGGACAGAACTGAAGCTAAAGTGTTTAGAAACTTCTATAATAATTGAACGAATAATTTTATTTCTGTTGCATTTGAAAATTTTTTAAAAGGGGGACTTGATTCTGTATAAATGTTCACGTTTCTATTAATTCATTTTCATTAAATTTCTGTGACAAATCAGACATAAAGAGTAGAGGTTTCACTGGCAATCATTTGAGAAGCACCGATTAATTAGAGGGCAATAGGGTGCCCTAGTGGGTAGACAGTGGATCAAGAGCCAGTTAGGAAAAGGGGAACTTTGAATGCCTGCACTCAAGGAAGACTTCCTGGGGGAGGGGCTTGAGTCGGACTTTGGAGCATGGGCAAGAGCTTGACAAATGGAGAGGATGCTCAGGTCACTCCTGCAGCTGTGAGTGAGTACTCACACCTGGTATAGACGTGCTTGCAGCCTGCTTTTAGCATGCATACACTCTGTCCTGAGCACTGTGCTAAGTGCCACAGGCTATTGCTGGCATTGAAGGCTGAGCACTGTTATGGGAGTCAGGGCCATGGGTGCTGGGTGTGGCCCTGATAAAATCTCCCTGTGTAGCACTGAAAGATCACTGTTTTACCCCCCACTAGACCATAAGAACCATAAGGGCACGGACTGTCTCTGATAAATAGTGCCTAGCTCAAGCCTGGCAGATGGTAAGTTCCCAGTAGAATTGTTGGTGAATGAGTGGATGGATGTGTTTCAGTGTTAACACCCAGAAATGAGAGAGATAGATAAGATCAGTGCTTTTCAAACCGCAAAATAAGAAACCTTACAAAGATGCACTTCAGTCCAACTTACAAACTCAAGCCTCCATCCTGAGTTTCTGTAGGATTTTGTTTGAAGGAGGAATTCCACTGCTATTTTGAAAAATACTAGACTAAGTGATTTCTAAGGCCCCTTCTAACTTTTTTTGCTCTAAGTGGATAGGAATGAAAATAATAGAGGCCATAAAATCATTGACTTAACCAATTACAGCTGCACAAAAACAGGTGCAGGGAGGCCTAAGGATATGCTAGAATATTGGCATTGGCATTAGTGGGATCCAGTTGGCTTGCAGAGCTCTTAATGTGAAGCTCATGAGTGGGCTTCAGAAGAGGGGCCCACTGTCCCCTAAAAATGTGTGTAAAGTTTTACATGTCATTGTGCATCAGTTGAAAGTGTATGGCTGTGCATAACAGGCTGGCATGAAGAACACTACAGAGGAGTCTAACCACTGCACTGGCTTCAATAAGCAAATGGTTTTTCCTTCTCATGTAACAGGAAGGCTGGAGGCAAGCTGCCCAAGGCTGGGGCACATGTTCAAAGAAGTCATTAAGATCCAGGCTTCTTCTAGTATGTGGCTTTTGCCCTAATGGTCCCAAGACAGCTGCTCCATCTCCAGACATCACATCTGCTTCCCAGCAAGGAGAAAAGGGAAAAGTCAAAAGTGGTACCAGGTGAGGCTGTCGTCCCTCTTTATTGTGAAAGTCACAGCTTTTCCAAAAGCCTCATCTAGTAGACTTCCACCTCCATCTCACTGGGCAGAACTATATCATGTGGCCAATCCATCCTGCAAGAAGCCCCAGGAAATCAAATTTTGTAGCTGGGTGACAAAATTGGGAATCTGCTAATAAGGAAAAGGGGAGAAGGGTTATGTATGAGCAACTGGTAGTATTTGTCACAGTATGTGTGTGTGTGATTTTTATTTTCCTTTACATTGCCAAAAAAAGTCATTAAAGAAGGAGTTTGTTCTGAAGAGAATGTAGAAGGTGGTTTTTCAGGGAAGAATAAAGAGGGCATTGGAACAGGAGGAAGGACGGGCGCTCAGCTGGAGGCAGGAGTCGGCCGGCCCCGCGTGGAGGACGGGCCGAGCAACCTCTGCTCCCCGCTGCCTGGGCAGATATGTGGATCCTGAGGCCAAAGGACTCTTTACTCCACTTCCCTGTAAAGCAGAAGTGGCCCCTGTGATGTTGGCGCAGTCAGGGGCCCAGGACCCAGCCCTGAGGCTGGAGAGACTCCTCCCTTCCTATAGGCTTTTGCTGTGGGATCCCAGATGCCCCACCAGGTCCCCGAGCACTTGGGGGGATGCTTATGGACCCCCCCCTCTCTGGGACAAGAGTCGAACCAGCTGCTTCAGTCTGTTTCTTACTGATTCATTTCTCCTGTCACCTTCTCTCCACCTTCCTCCTCCTCTCTGTAGGAAAGCAAAAAAACCCAGAGTAAACTGAACATCCGCTCTCCATTTCAGGAGCAGCAGAGAGCATTTGGTAGGATATGTGACCTGCCACGTCTCTGGGGCAATCTTCCCGAGGCACATGGAAGCCAGGGTCGAAGAACTTGATGGGGGCCTCTCTGCAGCTCCCCCAACAGGACTACGAGGCCCTGCTGGACAGGTGCATGAGGGACCGCTGCCTCTTTGAAGACAGCAGCTTCCTGGGCACCCTGAGCTCCACTGGCAGCGGGCCCCTGCTGCAGGAGCCTCGCCTGCAGTGGAAAAGACCCCCAGTAAGGGCCAGGGAAGGGGTTTCCAAAGCTTACACGCAAAAAGTGTCAACCCAGACTCTCCCTCAAGGGCTCAGGGCTTTCAGATGCCAGGTCTAAGATATATAGGAGAAAAAAGTGTTTTTCTTATTCTCTCTGCTCTACTCAGCACAACAAACACTCTGACTCCAGGTGTGTAGGAGGTTTTCCCCACACACCAAGCAATTCTCAGGTGCACACCAGCTGAGCGTCCTCTAATTCGATTTCTAATTCAATTCAATTGTGACGTTATCTCCAGGTAGATCGTGTTGGATCCCACAGGTTGAGGGCTCAGTCCCACAACACTGTCCCCCACTTCCGATAGTCACAAGCTCTGGGTTGTTTTACCTGTGCTTCTGACTAACCTGCCATTAATTAGGGTTCCCATGACCCCTCCTTGGGTTTGATTAATTGCTAGAGCAGCTCACAGAACTCAGGGAAACACTTCACTTACATTTGCTGGTTTATTATAAAGAATATTACAAAGGTTACAGAAAAACAGCCAGGTGGAAGAGATGCACAGGGCAAGGTATTGGGAAAGGGGTATGGGGGCTCCGTGCCCTCTCCGCGGGCAGCACCTTCCGAGAACCTCCACGTGCTCAGCTGTCCAGAAGCTCTCTGAACCCTGTCTTTTGGGGTCTTTAATGAGGCGTCATTACACAGGCATGAGTGATTAAATCATTGGCATTGGTGATCAATTCAGCCTTCAGCCCCTATGCCCTCCCCAGAGGTCAGGGGTGGAGATAAAAGTCCCAACCCTCTAATCCTGCCTCGGTCTTTGGTCTTATTCACTGTCATTGATCCCTGTGAGAAGAGAATTGGGTAAGTTCCCACATTCCCATTTTCCAGATGGAGAAAATGGAAATAGATTAAGATGTAGCTCTTCCTTAGGCCCTGACCAGAAATACACAGAGTGGCTGCAGCCAAAAATATATCAAGGTACTGTGGAACCTCACTGAGATGGCGAGGCACTCTGAGTCACAGCCAGTACCATCTGCTGGAGAGACAAATTTTAACCTATCTCCAACCCCCTCCCTCCAAATCAGCCTCTGAAACATGTAAATTAAGAAGCGATTAATCACTTTACAAAAGCATTTTTCACATAAAATGCATCAAAAATTCCTTTAAAAGGCAACTTCTTGTGTTCAAATGTAACCCATCTCCCCCAAACTGGATTTACACACAGTTTTCAGGAACGCAGCCAGTGAACAGAGTGAAGTCAACCTGGGCTACAGATTCTTCCCTTCTCTGTTCCCTACTCAGCTGTCACCATCAATGTCTGCAGCCCCAGATTTATAAAGTCCCTACTATGTGTACAATTCCCAAGTGGGCCTCCTAAACTAGGTGGCTGCCAAGATTGTACTTCTCTCAGAAAATCTTGTGAACTGTTGATACAGAGACTCTGTCACACACCTGACTCTTGGGGGAACCATATTCACACAAAGACCGAGGGATTTAGTGCTCGCCATAGAGCAGAGACCACCCCGCATCTCAGCATGAAAAGCCAAAAAAGGCCATTACATTAGGAGTTGGGAGTGGGAAGGAGGAGTGGGGGGAGGATAAAGAGAATGAGATCGCTAGGAAAAATGAGAATACCTGTGTAAAAGGTGCTTCCATTTTTAATAGAAACCCCAAGAAAAGGCATTTTTGATACAAGTGCAATTTCTCAGTATCCGCACTGAGTTCTGACTTACATGAGCTTTAAGAAGGAATGAGAAACGCAGTGGACAGAATCTGTACCCCAGATTTTCTGGGATGGCCCTGATTTCACATATATTTTATATCTTTGTCCCCATAAGTCCAGTTTTTGGGGTATGGGAAAACATGGTCACTGTAGCTCCAGGAGTGTCTTTGTTCTTGGTCAGAACGACAATCCGTCTGTCCCCCTAGGAGCTGCATAGCATCCCCAGTTCTATTCTGCCAAGACCAAGAAGCTGGATCTGTGCCAGGGAGTGGGAGGTGAGTCTGCACAGCCCCTGGAGACACATACAGGCCACTTGCAAGCCTGGCCCGACCAAGGCAGATGGATGGTCAGAGGGGAAGGGATGAGCGGATCCCGAATGGCTATTCAGCAGCAAACCCTGAACTCCACCTTGACATGCTCTGTCCTTTGGAGGAAGTTTGTACAAAGTGGTCCTCTGAGGATACGTGGGGATGCCACTCCCTGCCTAAGCCCCAGATGGTCCTCTGTACCAGTTTACAGGTCTAAATTTTGTTTTGGGAAAATGTGCTCACTCTATTTTAGTCCCACAATGAATACTTCTTAGGACACCCATTCTTAGACTCCCTGGAATAGGGTCTAAGCAGGACTGTCCTCAACTCGACTTGTTTTTGTGGAGTAGACGGAAACAGCCCTAGGCCGTCAGGGAAGGCACACGTCTAGTGATACCCATTACTCAGACAGAAAAATGGGGACTGCAAGGAGCAGTGCTTTTCCAGAAGAAAATAAATCAGTCACAGAGGCAGGATTTAGAAAAAGTTGGTGTGTATGAGTCCAAATTCCTGTGGATGGGGCATTCAGGAAGCTAAAAGCTGGTCCAGAAATATGGCCCAATTCTGTATATATATATATATATATATATATGCCTCACCCTCTGCCCTGTCTGCTCCCTCATGCTTCTCCTCCCCAGTGTCTACTTCAGGTCTCCTCAACCAGGCTGGCAGTTGCAAGAGGGCGTTTGTTGCATGCAGAAGTCCTCCGTAGATTCATGCAGGGCTGTGCGCTGTGTAGTTTAGGAGACAGCTGGTTCTTGGCTGCTTTGCAAGCTCTGACTTTGCACCAGGACATCCTGAGCCAGGTCGCTCCCTGAATCAGGTTTCACTGAGAAGTATGCTGGCACCCTCTGCTTCTGGGTGAGTGTCCTTCTTGTGCCTCAGCCTGGAGGGGCCAGAGGAAGAGGATTCTTGGGGGAGCCATGTCTTTGCCTCCTGAATGGTCCTTGCTCACCAGTGGGCACTCTCTCCCCCAAGTTCTGGAGCTTCTGGAAATAGGTCCCTGTGGTGATAGATGCCTGTCTCCCCATGAATGAGGCTGGCCAGCTGCTCTTTGTCTCCTCCACCTGCAGGAACTTGCTCTGGGAAGCTTTTCTGGGGAAGGCTTCTGCCGAGTAAGACAACCACCAGAAATATCCTCTCCCTTCCCTTCTCTTCTTTCCTTTCTCTCAGTGCTGAGAAAGGGGAATCAGGTAAAGTTTATGAGATGATATACTGAGGCATGTCTCAGCCAACATAGAAGCAACAGAACATTTAGGGTCTTTTATGTAGGTGTCACCCCACCTGAGCAAGCATTCAGGAATTTTGCTTTTCCCTAACGGATGGAGATAAGTGGGATAGTAACTCTGAGTATGTATTTTCTCCTTTGCTCCTAAGATGGAAGGAAGGAGTAGCAGACACCTGGCTAAAGAATGACCAAGCAAATGTTCTTACTCATTTGGACAATCTCATCTATGGCATAAATGTCCCTTCCCTTCTCCTCTCATGTTTACTCCTTCCATGGGCAGACTCTCTGGTTCCTATGAAGACCTGCAGTATGGACAGGTGTCTGAAGCCTTTATGGACTTCACTGAAGGGGTGACAATGACCATCAACCTGGCATCACCCCTGGCACCCTCTCGGACATCCTAACCCAGCAAAACCCTCATTGGCTGCTACCCACTCAGGGGTGAGAACAGGCTGGGCACTGGCAGAATGCCCTCCTCTCCTGCTCCCATCCCCTTCATCCACCAGCTACTGCTGCTACCTGCATGTGGGCTCCAGGACCTTCACCCAACTCCTGCACCTGGAGTCCTGATGTTAAACCAGAGCAGCAGAGCTGGGTCCTCAGGGCAGGCATGGCAGCAGTAGAATAAAGATGGCATGCAGAGGAGGGAAGGGAGCTAACAGATATTAGGTGCCAGCTACATGCAAGGCACTTTCCACGTCAGATTCAGTAACAACCAAGAACACAGAGCTAAAGTAGGAAGCCCTCGGCTCAGCCTTTCCTCCACTAACAGCATCGTGTCACCTCATGCACTGAATTAGCAACTCTGATTCTGGGTTTGTCCCCTGGAAAATGGAAGTGAAAATCACTGTACAGTGGCACGCCTGGTGTTGAGAGGGTCAAATGAGATTGTGGATGCCGAAGACTTTCGAAAGCCGTAGTGTACCACACAGTGGTTCTCCTCCACTCTTCTCTCCATAACCCCTGCTCCAGCCAAGCAAGTCTCCCACGACTGCAAGAATGAGCTGTACACGGCAGAGGACTGACCAGGACCTCTCTAGTCTCCCCAGAAGCAGAGGGTGCTGGAGAACAGGCTGGTGGACGGCCATGCCCATACCCTCCCAGGAATCAGGAAGGTGGGCTGAACCAGGTCCCTCTCTCAGCCTCCCCCTTCTCTCCCAGTGCTTCTCTCTGAGGCCTTAGCTCATCTTGGTGAACATTAGTAGCTGTGCCAAGTCTGGGGAGTGGATAGTCTCTGGTGTGTCCTCCAGGGCCTGCCAAAGCAAGTGGTGGGCTCCCCGTGCCTTCGTACCTATTTCCTGGGGTGAAGGGGCGGGTCCAGCCCCTGCCACCTGCAGGGCATCACCCCAGCCTCTTCCCATGGGATACCCCCCAGCCAATCAGTCACCTGGCCCTGCTGGGCCTCACAGCCCTTCTCGGAGCTTCTCTTCACTCTGGGCTACCCTTGGCATCCTCTTTATCTGGTTCTTCCCTCCCAAGTTCCTGCTTCTTCCTCACACGCCCTGTGCAGCAGTCTCCTGGTTTCTTCCTCTGGTTGCTATGCATTTTTGAGCTCCAGCAAGCATTGACAGGGAGATGGACCAGACAGGGACCCTGCCTACAGTCAAGTATGGAGACAACCGTATCTGAAAATGACAAGGACACCAAGTAGATGCTGAGAGAAGAGAGCACAGGTGAAAGGCTGTGGGAGTTCACAAGGGGAGAAAAGACATTCACACACATGGGCTGGGGAGAAGTCAGGGAAGTCTTCACAGAGAGTGACATTGAGCTGGCCCCTGAGAGATGGGTAGATTTGTAAGAGGGAGAAGAGCGTTCTGGTGGGGGGAGCAGCAGAGCCTGAAGACAAGAATCAGTAGGTTCAATCTTAAAGGGCCTTTGAAATTCTTTAGAGCACCCCACTCCCCCAAAGTCCTCCAATTCCCTTTAACTCTCAAATATCTTAAACTCAACTCAATCCTAACTTCCTCCTTCTAGATTTCCAACAAGCATATTTGTTTGCATGCCAAGAACTTTTACTTTATCTTCTTATTTATTTAACAACATTTACATAGCACTTACTATGTGCTAAATACTGTTCCAACTGCTTTACAAATTTTAGCTCACTCAATCCTCACAACACTGCCATGAGCAGGTGTATTAGTTCCTTAGGGCTGCCATAACTAATTACCACAAACTGGGTGGCTTGAAACAACAGAAATTTATTTTCTCTCGGTTCTGGAGGCCAGAAGTCTGAAACCAAGGTGTCAACACGGCCACACTCCCTCTGAAGTCTCTGGTGAAGAATCCTCCTTGCCTCTTCCACCTTTTGGTGGCTCAGGGTTTTCCTCGACTTGGGCTTTAGTCCAGTCTCTGCCTTCATCTTCACATGGCTTTCTCCTCTGTGTCTTCTCCCCTTCTCTTCTAAGAACACTTCATTGGGTTTAGGGCCCACTCTAATCCAGGATAATCTCGTCTCAAGATCCTTAATTTAATTATACTTGCAAAGATCCTTTTTCCAAAGAGGGTCGCATTCACGGGTTCCAGGTGGACATATCCTTTGGGGGTCGACCATTCAACCTACTACCACGGGTATAGCTATTAGCCTCATTTTGTAGATCGGAAAACTGAGACACAGAGAGGTTAGGAAATTTTCCTTAGCTCTCACAGCTAATAAGTACAAGGAGCAGAGCCACTTTCTCCTCTACCACCTCTCTCCAGGTCTTTGACGTTCCATTCCAAGTTCTCGGCTGCAGGCCCGAGTCTCAACCAGATATCTAGAACATTGCGCTCAGCCCAGCCACCTAAGCTATTTCTCATTTTGTGCAGGTGACCTGCAAACATGGACCTGAATATCTAATTAAGCTACAAAACCCCTGGGGGAAGTGGAACGGAAGGGAGACTGGTGTGACAGGTGAACTTCTGGGACTGTCTAGGTGGGGTGAGGATGGGGTAAGTGAAGTCTTCAAAGGTGGTTGCCATTTGCACACAAATTCAAAATGTGTGCTCCCTCAGGTCTCAGGCTGGATCAGGAAGCTTTCAGACTGTGAAGGTCAATCCCTCACACTTATAAGGTGCTCTATGGTATATAGACTGGTTTCTCTTTCATTATAATAATTAAAGCTAATGTTTATTGAGGATTTGCCAGCACTGTGTAAGCCCTGCGAGTGTTTATCATCTCAGTGAATCCCCCAAACAATGCTATTTTAAGGTACAGAGTTTTATCCCCACTTTACTAATTAAACTGATGCTTAGATTAAGTGAATGGCTTAAAGTCACACAGCATGACTCAACCAAGGTCTTTGGTGCCTTGGTCCAGTGTTCTTGCCCTGGCATGGCTCAGTTCAGTCTTGCGCTTGTCAAGTCAAAGGTAGACACATACGGATTAGCCCTTATGTTCTGGTTACATTTAGTGACCTCTGGGCATTCTGATTAGATGCTTGTATTTAGGGTGTTTCTGCCTCAAGGCAGCCCTAAAGGAATGTGGGTTTTACAGGCTACAGAGTGGCTGCAGGGCACAGGCAGAAAGGGAGAACACGTTTAAAGTCCTTCCTCCTGTCATTATGAAGGTTTATAATGCTTAACTCTGTATAATACTTTTGAGTATAGATGTCCACACATACATTATCACTTAATCATTTTTATAGAGGAAAGATGAAGGCTTAGAAAAACAAGTTAAACTTTACCCTTGATAGTATGTGCTGCATTATATTTATTATACCTTAGTAAAGAGAGTTGTCAGAGGAACTGGGTCTATGTGGAAAAATGGCATCCAAAGAATATATGCATTTTAGAGTGCTGTTGAAATACAGCCTCATATTGTTGTTGTTGGTGGTTTGTTTCATAGAAAAATAAGTACCAACATCAGAGATAGATGATGGGTAAAATTAGTCTTGTTCCTTCCTAGCTATGTGATCCAAGCTTCTTAATTTCTCTGAGCCAGCAGTATGGTGAAAATTAAGTAAAATGATGGGCTTCTATTCCACAGCATTTAATCTTCTGTTAATCCCATCCAGTATATTTTTCATTTCAAATGTTGTATTTTTTTAATTCTAGAAATTCCACTTTGGAATATCTTCCATTTCTCCCTTCATTATGTCTATATTTCCCTTTACATCCTTGAGAACATGAAGCACATTTATGACAGCTGTTTTAATGTCCTCATCTCTAATTCCACCATCTCTATGGTTTCTAGGTTGGTTTCTACTGACTGTTTTTATTCCTGGCCATAGATCACATTTTCACCTTCTTCATATGGCTAGTAATTCTTTTTTGGATGCTGGACATTGTAAATTTTATTTTCTGAGTGCTGAATCTTATTGTATTCTTTTTTAAAAAAATTAATATTATTTATTAGAATTTTTTTGTTCTACAGTTGTTTTTTTTGGCATGAATTCATTTTGTTGTTTGACTGAAGAAAGATAGTAAGCAAGAGTTTATCACTAGCTTTATGCTTGAGATAATATAACACATAAGAAAATTTGAGTCAACATGAATATCTTTTTCCTTTTTTATGTAACTCAAATTAAAATAGCAGCAATTTAGATTTAGCATTTCACCTCTAGGTATCTACACAAAAGAACTGAAGATATATGTCCACAAAAAATACTGTACATAAACTTTCATAGCAACATTATTAATGGCCCCAAAGTGGAATAAACCCATATGTTCATAAACTAATGAATGATAAAGTGTGATATATCCATAGAGTGGAATATTATACAATCACAAAAGGGAATGAAGAACTGATAGAGGCTGCCACCTGGATGAATCTTGAAAACGTTGTGCTAATTGAAAGAAACCAGACACAAAAGGCCACATATTAAATAGTTCCATTGATATGAACTGTCTAGAAAAGACAAATTCATAAAGACAGAATATGGATTAGTGGATGCCTAGGGTTAGGGGTATAAACAGGAAGAGAATGCAAATTGGCATGAGGGATCCTTTTGAAGTGACAGAAACTTTCCAAAATTGAATAATAATACTGTTGAAAACTTTGTAAATTTAACTAAAAATCATTGATTTCAACACTTTAAAAGGATTAATTTATGGTATGTGAATTTTATCTCAACAAACTTGTTATTAAAAGACTGGTAGTCAAAAAATAAATAAATAAATAAATAAATAAAATACCAGTAGTCTATGTCTCTTCAAGACATTGTTCCAACCACTTTTAATAATACATATTATTATTAAATAAAAGTAATTAAAATAGTGTCAATTCTTAACATTTGTAGAGAGATTATGTTTCAAGAAAGCATAGCACACACAGTATCTTACTGATGCAATAAAGAGGAAAAAGCACCAGGTTGTGGGTGTAATAAATTCCTCAAAAGCTGATAATCTGATTTTCTGGTTTATATCACATGTTAACCTGATATTACACTTGAGGGTGGCTTACTCTTTATATGTGAAGAAAACTGTTTAAGGTGTTCAATCCAGCTGAGTTCATGTGGTAGATTCATTAGCAAAAAATGTTCTAGTCCAGGTAACTCATGGAGTTTGTTTTTTCTTTATCCCTTTTGGAGCATAAATACTCTCTAGAATCTTATGAGACATTCTGTCTCTTTAGTGGCTTACTTTATCCTTATGTACATTTCTACATTGCTACATAAATTCCCTTTCCTAACTTAGGATGAATTGAAATAATCAGGACTTCTGATCAGGATGGTGGAATAGACAGTCCCCAGCATCGCCTTCTCCCACAATCGATCAATTTACAACAATTAAAAAGCAACGACATAACAACTATACCTTTTTGAAGTTGTTACAACAAGCAAATGGAAAGGACATTCTTGGGAGGGAGGGGATAGAGGGAGGAGGGAGGGAGGTGTCGGTGATGGGCCATAATAATCATATACATTGTATATTGACAAAATAAAAATTTAATGAAAAAAAAAAAAAAAAGCAACGACAGCCAAGCTGGGGCTGCTAGAGCTCAGGGGAAGAGGAGGAGAGATCTACAGAGCGCATGAAGGCAGGAGAAGCTGTGATGAAAGGAAGAAAGGACCATTCTGACAATTTCAAGCCCCAGCCATTTCAAGGCTGGCCCTGGTGAACACACAGAGCAAGAGCTGGCAAAAGCCGCAGCTGTGCCCTTTGTGTGAAGTTGCTTGGAATCTACAGAGGAGAAGAGGGCCTTGGTGGCCCCCAGGCCAGCAAGACCACTAACAGGGTTCCTGTGGACCCACATAGGAGTGAAGGGCCATAGACAACTGAAAAAAGGAGCCACTCAAAGGCTTGTGAGTCATCGCAAGGGACTGGTGCATGGCCCACCCCATTGGAAGTGTTTGGCGTGTGGGGGTGGGGGCGTGGGGGAGACAGGCCCACTGTGGGAACATTGGGGCACAGCATGGACAGCTGATCTGCCCTCCACTCAGCACAGGCCCACTCAGTGGAGACTGGACAGGAATGCAGAATTGCAAGGGGTGCAATTTGCTGAAAAGACTCAGGCCCAGACCAGAGTTTCCACACAACCCAGATGTATCAGACTTCACAAAACCTGGAAGTGCTTAAAAGGTCAACAATTAAAACCTGAGCTGCACAAAAAGCCTTCCCCAGAGAATCAGCAGCAAAGCAGCAATTTAGCTCGACCACAGGGCTCAAGTGCTGGTCCCCACAGGAATTTCCCCCATTTTAAACCAAAGGACAACAAGAACTAAACACAGGACAACAAATTAGTTCCAGTGCAGAGCTTAAATGGTGAGAGTAGCTAATAATCCAACACAGAACTGAAAGAAAAAACAAAACCCCACAGATCAGAGACAAAGCTCTGATATTAACCAGTAAAGGTCTAACACCAAAGAACACCTATAAAACCGAAAAGAATCAGAAGCCCCCCAGGCTCCCAAGCTGGGGTGGGGAGGGCGGAAGGCCTCAGCTCCACCTCCCCAATGTCTGCATCCAGTCCAGCAATGATGGAGCTGCGGGCTGAAGCCCCCTGGGCTCCCGAGAGGGGGCGAGGGGGTCTGAGGGCCTCGGCCACACCCCTCCGACATCCCCATCCAGCCTAGTGATGACCCTGCTGCTGCCAGAAGCCCCTGGGCTCCCAAGCCGGAATGGGGGGGGTGCCATGGGCCTGTGCCGCATCCCCCCACCCTCGCAGCCAGGCCAGTGAAGGGGCCGGCCATGGGCCAGCCCTGCCGCCTCGTCTCTCCTCCCTTCTCTCTCCCCTCACCGCCCCCTTCTCCTCTCCTCCTTCCCTCCAACTGCTCCACAACAACATCTCAGAATGTGAAAAATGATAATAATAATAAATAAATAAACATTTAAAAAAAGAATCATTAAAAATCATCTGCCACTCTTTCCTCCTCCGATCAGGTAAAGTAGGTAAATATTCCGAACTCTTTTAGGAAAAGACAATCTATTACCATTTCAGACAGATTGTTACTTATTTCTTTGAAAGAAAAATATTAATGTTTATGTGTAAGGTAGACACTAGAGACCTAATGCAGAACATCATGCTGGAAAAATAGTCTGTATTGGATGAGAGAGACCTACAAAGTGTAGATCCACAAATCTACAGCGATGCTTTTATTGGCTCGAGTGATAGATAAATGCCAAAATAGTAAAACTGGACAGCCATAAGTCATATACGTGAGAAACTGTATTTTTGTAGAAATAAAATTAAGAGAGACAGAAAGGGAGAGCAAGAGAGAAAGAGAGTTCTTCCCAGCACTGAATAGTGGAAACCAGATTAAAATCCTCCTTATAATTTCACACATGAAAAACTTAAATTTTGTATTACAATGTTATTAACGATTCTTTGAAAGCTCCCGTGCTGTTAGAGCACATCGACAAGCACAGAGTAAGGGATGCGATCGTTGCACTCCTCCGTGTGTAGCTGTCTGGAGTGCTGACAGCAGCAGATGCACGGACACGGTAGCACAACAATTGTCAGGGAGAAACCCCGAGACAACTTGGCAAGAATGTGTACGAAGAAATCCAAACTAAAAAATAAACGATTAGGTAAATAATCTTTGAGGTCTTTATAGTTCAGAGAATGCATTAATTTTTGCCTCGTCTGTCTTGCAATGGTTTTTTTCTCGTTTTTTCCAATTATGATATAATAGATTAAAAATACTTAGTTCCAATCCTGGATGTGCCATGAGCTATATATTAGAATTTGAAAAAGTTACTTAACATCCATAAATCATGAGTTTCATCAACTATGAAATAAAAATATTAATACCTATCTTACAAAATCTTATTAAGGCTTAATTAGAAAATGATTATAAAAATTCTATGTAAACTCTAAATGTGCCTAGTCTTTTTCCTAGTTTTCTCTATTTCCTTTTTTTTTGACAGTTTTTTTATTGAAAGATGATTGATTATATATATTTGTGGGGTACAGAGTTGAATATCAATACATGTGTACAGTGCATGGTGATCAAATCAGGATAATTAGTATGCTCATGTTTACAAAATGTAATCAATCTTTGTGACCCCTAACTAATTTCCTGCTAACCCCTACCTCTAATAACCACAGTTCTGTTCTCTCTTTTATTTTCATAAGTTCTATGTATTATTGTGATTGTTTCTTTCTTTCTTACTTTTCTTTTTTTTTTTTTTTTTTTGTCTTTTTGTCTTTTTCCGTGTCCGGCAATGGATCGCAACCCTCAGTGTCGCCCCCGCACCGGACCGGGGACCAGCAACAGGATCGCAACCCTCGGCATTGCCCCCGCGCCTCGCCCAGCCAGTGAGCGGGAACCGGTCTGCATGTGGGATCCGAACCCTCGGGCGGGAGCGCCGCCACGCTTCCCAAGCAGCACACTTATCCAGTGCGCCACCGGGCCGGCCCTCTTTCTTACTTTTCTTTATTTTAGTTCCCACTTATGAGTGAGGACATGTGGTATTTCTCTTTCTGTGCCTGGCTTGTTTCACTTAACATATTTTTCGGTAAGTTCATCCATGTTGCTGTGAATGGCAGAATTTCAATCTTTTTTTTTTTTTTTGTCCTTTTTGAGACCGGCCGCACCGCGCTCAGCCAGTGAGCACTGTGAGCGCACCGGCCAGTCCTATATAGGATCCGAACCCGCAGCGGGAGCGCTGCTGCACTCCCAGCGCCGCACTCTCCCGAGTGCGCCATGGGCTCGGCCCAGAATTTCAATCTTTTTTATGGCAGAGCACTATTCCATTCAGTATATATACCACATTTTCCTTATCCAGTTTTCTGTCGATGGAGAGTGCTGGGCCTTCTCTTTGGGCAGGTAGCTACATTGCTTAGGAATTATTTTGATACTTTTTTTTTTTTTTTTAAAGATGACCAGTAGGTTTCTTTTCTATCTTCAGATGAAGTACATGGGAGCTTCTGAGCCCTAAGGAGAAGATTCTGAGGAAAGATGATGATGGAGAATTCTGGTATTTGACTGGGGGCTTGGGACATGGGGGACACGTGGCTGAGCACGGGGGTCTCCAGCAGTTATCATGTGTGCCTGTTTCTTGTCCTCTTCACCATCCATCTCTGTCCACAGACTTGGGTTCTGGTGCTGGCTCTGTCCCATAGGAATATGTGATCTAGAGCAAGTCATCTCCTCGCTCTTGAGCATGGGTTTCTCCATCTGTAAAATGGAAACAATGGTATTTATGTAAAGGGTAGAATAAAAGGCGATCCTGTGGTAGTCCCTATCATTGTTCCTGGCACATAGTTGGTGCAATCAATATTATCTTCCTTGTCTTCTCCCAACAAGCCAAGGGTTCCTTCCCTCACCCTTTTCTAGAATTTTCAGCAATGGATTAAAATGTCACTTGTAGAACATCAGGTCTTGTGGGAGGGGAGGGGGCCTCTGGGTGGAGTCTTATATATCAGCTTTCATTAGGGTTTGGGCTTGTGAAAGAGCTGGATTCCGTGCCTAATGAGATCTCTCTTTTTGCTTTTCAGAAGAGCAAGGCGAGTTCCACGCTTGGTCAGCTGACCCTAGTTTGGACTGATATCACACGTGGCCAAGCCACCGTGAAATTCAATTTGATTGTAGCAGCCTTATGTCAGAAGCTATGAGAATGACAATACCTCCAACTGCGTGTTTGTGTGTGTGTGTGTGTGTGTGTGTGTGTGTGTGTGTGTGTGTGTAAGTAAAGAGCACCTGCTATTCTTTTTTATCCTAGGACCCCAAGAAATTCTTACGGAGCTATGAGAATGACAATACCTCCAACTGCGTGTTTGTGTGTGTGTGTGTGTGTGTGTGTGTAAGTAAAGAGCACCTGCTATTCTTTTTTATCCTAGGACCCCAAGAAATTCTTACGTATCTACAGAGAAGTCTCCGAGCCAAGCAGAGAAACAATAAATTTTAGAATCTATTAAATCCATATGTAAATACCTAGGGCTAATATTGAAGGCTGTCACAGCATAGGTCGGATGATAAATCACAGTCTTGACTGAGTTATGGAGCCCATAATCAAATAGAACTAAAACACATGGAGCATCCAGAGACCATGCAGCTCACCTCCCCAGGGAGAAGGGACAAAGGCTTGGGAAAATAGGACAGGAACATGGGCAGAGGGACAAGCACAGCTCTGTGTTTCAGCTGCGGTGGCAGCCTGGAGGGGTCAGGTAAGAAGGCCTGAGGGTTTCCAGACTCTGAGAATGACAGCTATTATTTTGTTTTCCAAAGAAAACGGGAGTGTAAAACTTCATTTTCTCAGATTGGATTGAATCAAGTAAGAGGACTTTTATAAACAAAAAACATTTTTCATTGGGTCTTTACTTGGCTTTTTGTTTGTTTTTCCCTCCTGTGGGAACACTGAGTGCTCCCAAAGTTGCCTATTAATTTAAAAAGAAGTTATTTATATCACACCTATTTCTAAATAGAATTTGGGTCAACCTACAATAAAAAGTGCAAATGAAGGAATACGGCAGACCATTTATAAAATTTAAAAGGCAACAAAGTAGTAATAAATGGATGAGGGCTAGGTAAGCATTTGATTTGACCAGGAAAACTAAATTTAGGACAGGTTCTATGGCTGATTATTCAATTTAGCTCTGAGATTCCTAGCAGTCAAGGCAAAAAAGGCAATAGGATGATTCCTTAGTTCTCGTCTGATAAAAAGAGCATGCATCACCAGGACGTATATTGTTTCTCCGACCCTGAATGGAATTTGCAAAACATATTTTTATGGGGATGGGTAATGTTTTTATTAGCAGTTGTGTATAAACTGCAGACAGAATCTCAGTATGGACCTCCTCTCCCTCCTTCCATAGCCCTGAGTGAGAACAGAGGGGAGAAGAGGCAAAAGCGAATAATAGGGAGACTCGGGGAAATAAAGGAGGCAGAGAGGGAGTCAGACGAAACAAAGCACATGCCCAGGCAGTGTCAGAACCGAAGCCCCGATCCAGGTCCTCTGAGCTTCTTTCCAGTTCTCTCTTCCCTTTATGACGCTGGTTTCCCTGAGATGATGTGGAATGTCCAGTTCATCTGCATGTGGCTGTTATCATATGGGTGGGAAGATGGTGACGGTCCATCTGTAACTGTGACCATAAATCATGTCACAATCAACCCTGCAATTGTATCGCATACATGGAGGCAGCATCAGGAAGTGTAAAGAGCATGGGCATTGGAGCTTAGCTGTCCTGAAGTCCAGTTCCGGCTGGGACTTTCACCAGCCGGGTGACTTTGGAGAGGTGACCTAACTTGTCTGAGCCTCAGACTCCTGAACTATGATGTGGAAACTGCAGGCACAGGAACATTTCTGACACCATTTTGTGTCAGTGTTGCTTTTAACGTAATGTCAAGTCATCGGCGTGTGCTTTCTCAGCCGCTGATAAGGTTCCAGTGAGGGTGGTGCCCTTGGCATGCTCTCGTTTTTTCCTTCCTTCTTACATCTTGTGTCTTGTCCTTCATGGGGATATGTTGGATTTGGCATATCAGAGGCCACCTTAGTTCTGGCTCCTGGGCAAGGGCCCCAGGTCTGGCCACAACCCTGGGCGATCACCTCCACTGGTGTCCCTTGTTCTCTACTTATAGTACTATGACGACCAGAGGAGACTGCTCCCTGAGTTCTTCTGGAGAAACACTGCTCTGAGTCAGATTGAGGTTTATCTCAAGGAAAGAGAAGTGAGTCACGAGCGGTGGCTGGACGTACCACATTGTACCCTGCATGTCTGAAGCCTACCAGGAGTCAGAGTTTGTCCTGAGGGTCTTCTCCTGGAAGGACATTTTTTAGTAAGGACAAAAGGCATCTCCTGGAGTTTGGGGCCCCCTTGAGTCAGGGGTCAAGGAGGGCAAGGTTGGAAATGGCAGAGGCCAGGGTCTCTGCTGCCAAGATGGAAGAGAAGTAGGGGTAGCAGGAGGCCAGGGCAGCTCTCTGCATGGACTACACCCCTCCCTCTCCCTTCCCACTCTCCTTCCACTAACAAACTACCACCACTAGACACCAGGATAAAAAGATAGAGCAGAGATGACCCTGTCCTCCTGAGGCTCAATGACTGGAAAGGATGCAGACAGCTGAGCAGTCATTGACGTCACAGTGCGTCCAGTGTGAGCATTCATATGCGCAGGCTGTTAGAACAGCATCTGAGCCATCCTCCATGCCTGGGGAAGCAGGGATGGCTTCAGGGAGGTGGTGACTCCTAGGAGAGGCAGAGGGATTGTTCGGATGGGGGAGGCAGCATTACCTGCGGGCTCAGATTACTCAGTTACTCGGCTAGTGTATGCAGCTGAATCAGCATGCACACATCTCGGCCCAACTTACAATTTTGCCTGTGGTGGTTTTGACATGACAGTCCTTCAATGCCAGCTGTTTGCGATTGTTTTGTTTTTTATGTCTTGACCGTGGGTAGTTTGACTCGATCTTAGGCATCACTGCCATGTCAGACCACTGGGTCTTAAAATATGGCAGGAGCAGTTAGAAGAGGGCATGGGGAGATCCAGGCGGTGTGCTGTGCCATGTGGCTGGACTGCTGCGCACTTCCAGGAGAAGGGGGAGGAGAGGTGTGGGAGCTGGGCAAGCTAAGGAACTTGGAAGACGAACTTCTCAGGGAGGGAGATATTGGTCAAAATGTTCCCAAGATGATCCCCAGGAGGAAACTCTTTGTCTTTTTTCCCCCCTCAGTAAGATTGGCAGCAATCCCAGTGTTGTCATCTCTGGGGTGAGTAGTCAGTGGAATTCCATGTGGCCAGGACTATTTTCAAGGCCAAGACTGGGTTTCTCCCAGGATGTTAAGAGGTAAGGGCAGGAGGTACACAGATCCTCGCAGACCCTGTTCTATTGCTACTATATCACCTATTGCACCCTGAGAGTACCCAGGCTCTACTGTTTCTGCACCAATAAGGAGTAGAGATTGGCCCTTTAGTCAGGGAATTCCATGTGGCCAGGACTATTTTCAAGGCCAAGACTGGGTTTCTCCCAGGATGTTAAGGGGTAAGGGCAGGAGGTACACAGATCCTCTCAGACCCTGTTCTATTGCTACTATATCACCTATTTCACCCTGAGAGTACCCAGGCTCTACTGTTTCTGCACCAATAAGGAGTAGAGATTGGCCCTTTAGTCACGTGCTCATCACTGAGGGCCCAGGGCCGCAGGTGCATGAGTAATACCTGTACTTTCTTCTGCTTCTCTCTGCCCGGTGTTTCTTTTGCCCATTTCACTACTTGTTACCTCCCCAAACGTCAGGGAGATTTGGAGAAACAAGGGAAGTCTGTGAATGCTACAGTGGAAAATTTAAGCCAATGCGAGGTCAAACCCATGGATTTCAGAGGCCTGGAAGCCATGAGACATTAGTATGTGCACGTGAGCCCATTTACACAGGTGAATGATTGTGTCCTTCTGTGTGTCTGTTCTTGTAGGAGACAGTGGACCAAAATTAAGGGCAGAATGAATTCTTCACCAAACTCTTGGAAAAGGTAAGTTGGTGAAGGGACGGGAGGAGCAGGGACAAAGCAGAACACGGAATTCTATGAAGTATGGGCTCACATCTGCTTGACGCTGTGTGTAAACTATGATTTCAGGCCACCTATTCCCCAAACTGCCACTTTCTATAAAGTCCTCAAGTTTTTAGACAAGTGAGTACAGCCATTGTCTCCAGAAGGCTTCCGTAAAAGGATTTTTCTGTTCTTGGAAGCTGCCTCGATTAGTTGTAAGAGAGGCAACTTTAATCTTCCATCCCTGAGAAAATGGAATGTAGCAGAGTGGAGAATCAGTGCTGGGCATGGGAGGGGTGGGGGGCATGACAACAACGAGCTCACAGGGCCTGTGGCGGGCATCTAAGGGAGGCCCAGAGAGAAAGGTCCTGGAAAAGGGGTGGGACTGGTAAGAAGGCCTTAGGGAGGAGGAAGCCCTGTGGCCACACACCTTGTCCCCGGGAGGTCTTTCCTAGGGCTGACCCAGACCTGAGCCTGGCAGGAGGCCAGTGGTGTAAGTGTAGGACTCTGAGGCCGCTCTCTCTCTCTCTCTCACCTGCAAGACACTTAGGAATAGGGCAGTAAACACACTGGAAATCTGGGATCTCACATTTGAGCGATGTCATGAAAACTGAAAGAACACGAGCTCCATGTTAGTGACATTCCCAATTTAAATTCCCAACTTACCTGCCTTCTCCATCTCATATTTTGCTTAATGTAGCCAGAAAGGATAAATCAGAATCTCACATGTGTTGTTTATAAAAATTTTCCTCCATGCCAGTGGTTTTCAAACATTTTATGCTGGTTCCTTTAATCAAATGAAATCCCATAGAGAATCCCAATATATATATATATAAAAAGGTAAAAGTTGTATATTATGAATATGTATCAGTTTCATAAATTCAAATATGTGATACTTGTATTTTATTGATATATTTGAAATTCAAATGTTAATGTAGAAAATTGCTTTTGATAAACTCTAAAATTAAAATCTGGAGTATTGGCTGATGACATTTTGTTAAGAATAAAATTTAAACTGAATTGTTTGCTGAACCTCTGAAACACTTCCGTAGAACCTAGTTTGAGAATCACTGCTCCCTGTAAGCCTGCTTCTGAAGGGTCCTGCCCTGCTGGGGTGCTCTGAACTTGCAACCCTGTTAAAAAGCATTGTAAAAATTCTTATGAAATCCAAGATTTAATGACATGTCTAGTCACATTTCTTATGTGCAATATAACAGTTTCTGCTTAAAAATGGCACATATACCATGTTGAGTATATGCTGGAGGACTGCTGTTCTGCTTTCGCTTCAGTATCCAGAAATAAATGCAATTCAACTGCAGAAGATCCTAAACTACATGAACTGGCCAAGTGAGTGTTTTAGAGTCATTTTGCAGGTCCCAGAGAGGACACAGCTTTTCTGGGCTCTGGCTCTCTTTCCCTCAGAGGGACGTGTGAGTTACTGAGCACTGGCCCCACCCAGCAGCTATGTTTTACACCAGGATGGGCTGTGTGATCTGACGAAGCAGTAGAGAAATTTATGCAGCTTTCAAAATTTGAAAAAAATGTTTTTTGTTTTTTTGTTTTTTTG